TCTGCACGCCCCCCCCCAATAGCTAGCAATCCAAAACAGTCCAGTGGAGCCTGAGCGGTGGGTGTTGCTTTCTGACACAGTTCTGGTGATGTCAGGGGGTGTGGCATATGCAAATAAGTTATGCTAATGGGCTCCTGCACCTCTTTTTCCACGAAATGACCCCTGGGCAACCCCATAAGGTTTTCCAGGCAAGAAATGTTCAGAGGTATTTTACCATTGCCTGCCTGTGCATCGCCACCTTGGTACTCTTTGGTGGTCTCCTATTCAAGTACTAGCCAGGGCCGACCCTGCTTCTCCTCCGAGCTCAGACAAGATGGGTCTAGCCTGGGCGATCCAGGTCAGGGCTTTTGCCTACTCCACCTGAAACGGATCCATTTACACGACCAAGGGCTGTTTTCTTTCAGGAGGGCCATTCTTGCAAGATTTCACCATTTTTGAACAAAGCCGTACGCGTCCTCTCAGTCTTGTAAGCTTCAGGTGGGCAGCCGTGTTGGTCTGAAGCAGCAGAACAAAGTTCTGAGTCCAGCGGCACCTTTAAGACCATCAAAGTTTAATTCTGGGTACAAGCTTTCACGTGCGTGTACACGTCTTCAGATACACTTCTTCAGATACATGTTGTATCTCAAGGAGTGTGCGTGCACATGAAGGCTTATACCTTGAATAAAACTCTGTTGGTCTTGTTCTGTATTAGGACCGGAACATTCCAGGACTATCTACCAGAGACTGGCTGAGCCTGGAGCTCTAGAACAATAGCCCACCAGGACTCTGGAAGTGACCGGTGAGAAACTAATGTTATGTAAATAGCCTGTCATTGGAATTGGGTTGTGTTTGGGTGTGGTCTTTGCATGCTATTCAAACAGGGCTGTTGTCCTGGTGGAGCAGTCTTAGTCTTGTTCCTGAAATCACTTGATAAAGCAGAGCTGCTCACTGCAATGTGTCTAGAACCCAGTATTTGAACAGGTCTGTTGGCCCCCTGGACTCGAACTGTTGTTCTAATCTGATAAACTGTTCATGCCAAACCGTCCTTGTCTTTGAATGTTTTAAATCTCTTCTGTTAGGCTTTTTACTCCCTTGTGCAAGGGCAGTAACTGAGCCTTACGACTACGGAACCTTATCATGCAGTCCAGGCTGCGAGTGAAATATGAGGGCTGGGAAACATCTGGCCTTAATACATTAAGTTGATAACTTTAGACACATCAATTAATAACTGGAAGCTGATGAATTCTGAACTAGCCACTGACTTTTCCTCGGGTAGCTGAATTTTGTGAACAGGCTATTCTAGGGATGCCGGCCTCAAGGTGGAGCCGGCGGATCACCTGGAATTACAGCTCATCTCCAGACTGCAGAGATCAGTCGTCCCCCCAAAGACAACGGATGCTTTGGAGGGTGGGCTCTCTGTGGCATTGGACCCCACCCCCCTCATGTCCCTGTTCTCCCCAGGCTCCACCCCCAAATCTCCAGGCGTTTCCCAACCTGGAGATGGGAATCCTTCCGCTGGTGGCCGGTGGGGGGGATCTGGCAACCCTACATGGGGGTTTTCTCACTGCACTGGCTGCTTTTCCTGACCATACAAAAAAAAATAACCCAACATCCAAGTAGCAAGACTGTTATTAAAATTGCTACTTTTTGCATCAATGGCATAAAAGAAATGAACAACATGGGAGAAGTTGCTAAGATAACAGGCAAGATGGAAATGCTCCTAATGAAGACAAATGGCACATTTTGTGCATCCCGTCGCCGTTTCCGTCTTGCATCAAAACTGTTTTTGGCGCAAATTTGTCAGTGGGGCGCATGCAGGGCGTGTGTAGATCAGCGCCGGGGTTTTTGCACTGACCTCCTTTCAGTTCCCTGCTGCGATTAGCAGGCAGCATGTTGGCAAGTGAGGGGTGAACCGACGCATGAGGCTTTTAATTGCCGGCCCCCCTCCCTCCGTCGACGCCTTCTCCAGCTGTGAGCTGTGGAGGAGTTGATCAGATTTGACTTTCCAGTCTAACATGGCTGTAAATTAATTTCTCAGGCCTGCCCTTCTTGATCTGAATTTGGCATTGCCTCCTCATTGGCTCTCTTCCCCCACCCCCCCCCAGTTGCTGGGTGCTTATAGCTTTATCACTTTTTGGCACACCGAGGACATCATGGCCTGCTAGCTGGAGCTGCCTAGAGACCAGCCGGTGAATTGTGGAGGTCTCAAAAACCTTTTGAAATGTCTGGGGATGGAAGGGGAGGGTGGTGGTTTTCCCTGCTCTGTGTGATTTGGCTTATCAAAATCATCCTCCCACCTGCTGTTAACCTTAGAGAGGGGGAGAAGGCACCTATGGGGGTGGGCTTTCTGGTTTTACTTTTGGGATTAGCAACAGCAGATTTGTTTGTGTGTGCCAGCGCTGGTTGGTGAAATATACTAGAGTTGGCATGCATTAGTTATCAGCTCCTGCTTTATTGTGAATCAGCTCAAACTAAGGACAAATTAGCAGGACCGAAGCCCTGCTTAAATCCGTATCCAACACCACACCCCACACACACCCACGACCCGTGATAGGTTATTTACAGAGGTACTCCTGGGCGATAGGTCCATCCCAGGATCCTAGCAGTCTATTGTTCTGTGTCTCCCAAGCTGGGTCCGTAAAGGGTTAGACTCAGTACATAACAGTTGGCGATACCCCCCAGGAGAGAGAATGAATCCTCCTCTTGGGAGGGGTTGTAACTCAGGGGTATGAGTAAGGGTGCCAGCTCCAGGTTGGGAAATATCCAGAGATTTTGGGGGTGGAGCCTGGACAGGGTGGAGTTTAGGGAGGGGAGGGGTCTTGGCTGGGTATGATGCCCTAGATCAGTGGTGGTGAACCTATGGCACGGGTGCCAGAGGTGGCACTCAGAGCCTTAAGAACATAAGAACATAAGAGATGCCAATGTTGGATCAGGCCAAAGGCCCATCCAGTCCAACACTCTGAACTGATCTTGGCCACCTGGAGATCAAAGTTTGAGTCCAGTGGCACATTTAAAACCAGCAAAGGTTTACTCAAAGTATAAGCTTTCGTGTGCGTGCTCACTACCCACCTAAAATCTATCAACTGCAATAGGAGGAGATCATCAACCCTACGTAGAGGAGCACCTGCTTGACACGCAGAAGGTCCCGGGTTCAATCCCCAGCATCTCCCCTTGAAAGGAGCAGGTAGGAGGTGATGTGAAAGACCTCTCTGCCTAAGACACTGGAGAGCTGCTGCCAGTCGGAGTGGACTTCGATGGACCAGGAGTCTGATGCAGTAGAAGGTGGTTTCATGTGTCCTTGTTGGTTCTCTCTCTCCCCTACTGCGTGGCTGCAGTCCTCCATGGGGAGGGGCCCACATGGCTTTTCTCCGGGCCTCTCCTGAGTTTTGACCTTCAGGGTCGCCTCCTAGGGCAGGGGGCACAACCTTTCTGAGCCTGTGGGTAGTTTTGGAATTCTGGTGCAAGGCGATGGGTGAAAACACAAAATGACAACCACGAAAAGCCAGGGAGTGAAGTTATACATAACTCTAGTAATAATGCTTCGGCATTTTAGGTGTGGTTGCCAACTTCCATTCACCTTGTTTTTTGTTAACCTCCAGGCGGGGCCTGGAGATCTCCCAGAATTACGACTGATCTCCTGACTACAGAGACCAATTCTTCTGGAGAAAATGGTGGCTTTGGAGGGTGGACTCTATGCAGGGTTGCCAACCACCAGGTGGGGCCCGGATATCTCCTGGAATTGCAGCTGACCTCCAGACCACCAAAATAAGTTCCCATGGAGAAAATGGCTGCTTTGGAGGATAGACTCTATGTCCTTATAGCCTCCTGAGGTCCTGTCATTCCCCAAGCCCCACTTCCCCCAGGTTCCACCCCCAAATCTCCAGGAATCTCCCAGCCCTGAGCTGGCAACCTTAACTCTATGTCATCGGATCCTGCTGAGGCCCCTCCCTTCTCCAAACCCTGATGTCTCCTGAAGATTTGGGGGGGGAACCCTCAGGAGGCGGGGTTTGGGAAGGGACATTAGCAGGGTGTAATGCCATTTTCTCCAGGGGGACTGTCTCTGTAGTCCTGGAGGCTGGAAACCCTAGGTGAGGTCCAGGAAGGCCCAGAGCTACCGGCAAGGCCCCACGACTTTTAGAGGCCTCATTTATTTTTGACTCCATGCCTGGTGGTTTATCTTGAAAGTAAGTCAATGGTATATATTTATTTATTGGCAATATATGTTTGCAGTCTATTTAATACATGTGTTTAATTTCCCGTTTTTTAATCTTTTACAGCAACTTGCCTCTGGTCCTTATTGGATTTATACTTTGTATTTACACAGGGGTCGTTTCGTAGAAAAAGAGCTAGGGGAACTCATTAGCATAACTCATTAGCATATGCCACACCCCCTGACATCACCGGAAGTGTGTCTTAAGGCCACATCCACCACTCAGTCTTAGTCTTAAAGGTTAGTCTTAAAGGTGCTATTTGTTAGTCTTAAAGGTGCTATTTGAACTCTTGGACTATTTTGCAGCAACAGACTAACACAGCTACCTCGGGGAAGCTCCTGGATGGGGCTGGGAGTCCTTGCGGAGGCCACGTAGAGTGGCCTCAGCCAGGCAGAGGGGGAGGACGCCAACTTAACCTCCTGCTTCTTCCTCCTTCTGCAACAGAATGAGGCTGGAAGCAGGGGGCGGGGCTTCGTCATGTGCCCCGCCCCCTGCATCTCACCCGGGGGAACTGCGATCCCCCGCGATCCCCCCCGAATCGACCTCTGTATTTACATGATTGTACTGTATTTTTATAATAGCCAATATGTTCCTCACTATTGACCTCTGAGGAAGGCCTATGTATTTATGAGCCCTTGTGTTTTATTGTTTGTTATTTATACATAACGTATGATTGGGCCCTTATATAATTTTAAAGTTTGTGATTAATAAATACAGGTATTTTTATATATGTCCTTCATTAAGTTTTTTAATATTGGCCCCCTTTCTTACATTTGACCAACCTTTGTCAGGTTCTAGATTCAAGGCCCCATGGCGTCCCATCCGGCCCTGAGCAGTGGCAGGTGCGGGGAAGGAGCCAAGTATTCCTTTAATTCGATTAGACAGTGCCCCCTAAGAAATTTAAATGCCCCCCACTTAAAAAATCCTGGCCTCGCGCCTGGGTTCAAGTCCACACTCATTGCCTCCAAAGCAGCCATTTTTACCAGGGGAAGCGGTATCTGTAATCTGGAGATCCATTGAAATTCCAGGGGATGTCCAAGCCCCGGCTTGAAGCTAGTGACTCCACTTCTCAGTGGACACGTCTGTGAAGCAAGAGAAGTTTACAAACCTATGCAAGGGGGCGTAGGGTGGGATTTGTATCTCTTGAATTTGCCTCCTGTTTGCTCCGGTGCAGCCAGGGCGGGTGCAATCCCCATTCAGCCTTTATGGAGAAAACACGTTCATTTTCGACATTATCTTCGACTTGATAAATCTGCATTGTAAAAGAGCACTGCGCTTTGCATACAGAACACAAACAAATCCATACAAGCAAGGTTGAAAAGGAAAGAACCAAAGTCACTGACAAAAATATAAACAGACATAAAAAGGAATATGAAAGATTCATTGATCCCTGTCCTCGTTGGCTTTCCATCCGAAGTGCTATGCAAATAATGTCGTTTTCACTCGGCTCACTCGGATCATCATATCCTGCATCTATAGAGAGCTGCGGCCAGGCATAGGGATGCCAGCTCCAGGCTGGGAAGTTGCTGGGGATGGTGGGATTTGGGGAGGGGGAGGGGAGGGAACGGAGCTCAGTAGGGATGTGGTGCCCTCGAGAGCCCGCCCTCCAAAGCTGCTGCTTCCTCCTCCAGTGGAGCTGATCTCTGTAATCTGGAGATCATTTGTAATTTGAGGAGAAATCCAGGCCCCACCTGGAGGTTGGCTGCCCAAGGCCAGCGGCATCTTTTCATTGAAAAGCCAGAAGGTCACTCTGCACGTCGGTCTGGTCTTTAGAAGAAGAAGAGGAGGAGATTGGGTTTATACCCCATGGCCCTTCACTACCCAAAGGTGTCTCAGAGCGGCTTACAAACTCCTTTCCCTTCCCCTCCCCACAACAGACACCCTGTGAGCAGGGCCGGCTCACTCACTAGGCAAACTAGGCATTCGCCTAGGGCAGGCCAGCCTTTAGGGCGCCAAACCGCCAAAGCCCCTCCCCGCCCCCACCAAAAGCCCTTACTGGGTGACCGCCGCCTCTTTCTCCCCGAGTCCGACAAGTGCACCCAAAAGCGCTGACTGCAAGCACAGCGTCCTCTGGCGCCAAACCCCCCCCCCCGCCAGGCAGTCTGCGCTCTCGGGCGGTTGCAGAAGGGCAGCACTGGTGGGGGGGAAACCAGGGCAGCAGGGGGGGGCTCCCGGGCTGACAAACACGGTGCTGCTCGCCTGCTCTCCCCTCCCCTCCCTTCCACGGGCTCCAGCCGGGCTCTTTCACCCCCTTTGGGGAGCGAGCGCGGCACCTGACCTCTCTGGCCCTCCCCGGCGGCGGCAGCATCGGAGGGTGTCCCTGGCGGACAAGATCAAGGCGAAGCTGAAGAAGACACTGCTAGTGCAGGGGCCCCAGGCGCCCACCCTGCGCGAGCTGATGTGCTGGTACTGCATGAACAGCAACACCCATAGCTGCTGGCGCATCGTCATCTCACGTGGCCACCTCCGCTGCGCCCTCTGGATCCTGCTCACCCTGATGGCCATTGGCCTCATCCTCTGGTACTGCGCCCAGCTCATCCTCAACTACTACATGGCCTCCGTCTCCATCACCGTCCAGTTCCACAAGCTCCCCTTCCCCACCGTTACCATCTGCAACATCAACCCCTACAAGCTCCCCTCGGGGCTGGCCGGGCTGCCTTCTCCCTGCGTGCGGGGTGGTGGTGGTGGTGGAATGGGGGGGCGATGCACAGGGGGAGAGGGGCAGCACACGGGGGTGTGTGTGCCAGAAGGGATCCTGGCCTAGGGTGCAAAATAAGCTGGGGCCGGCCCTGCCTGTGAGGCAGGTGGGGCTGAGAGAGCTCCGACAGAAACTGCTCTTTTTTCAAGAACAGCTCTTATCAGAACTACTGCTGGCCCAAGGTCATCCAGCCAGGTGCTTGTGGAGGAGTGGGGAATCAAACCCGGTTCTCCCAGATTAGAGTCCGCGCACTTCACCACTACACCAAACTGGCTCTTTAGACTTCAAAGAGCAGAAATGGACTGGGGGATGACCTGGAATCCCTCCTTTTGGAAGCTTTATGTGTGGAAGCTTCTGGTAAGGAGGCCGGAATGTATAATGCACCAGTCTCTGGCAGGGGTTTCACATCACACTTGCTGGTGACCAAATTGAGTTTCTGGCTTCAGGTTGAGAAATACTTGGAGAATTGGGGGCAGGGGGGGTTTGGAGCCTGAGGAGAGCAGGGTTTGGGGAGGGGAGAGACCTTGATCGGGGATAACGCCATAGAGTCCACCTTCCAGAGTGGCCATTTTCTCCAGGTGACCTGATCTCTGTGGCCTGGAGATCAGTTGTAATAGTGGGAGATCTCCAGCCACCACCTGGAGGTTGGTAACCCCATGATGAAGAGGTGGCACTTGGGAGGTGGTGTGCGCAGATGAGGGCGCGGAACTACGCGATCAGAGAGCTGGCTTAATTTTTATCGAGAACATTTTTTATCCTGCCCTTCGAAGAAGAAGAAAAAGAAGAGAAGAGATTGGATTTATACCCCCGCCCTTCACTACCCGAAGGAGTCTCAGAGTGGCTAACAATCAACTTTCCCTTCCCCTCCCTATAAGGGAGGTGGGGCTGAGAGAGCTGTCTCGAGAACTGCCCTTGAGAGAACAGCTCTGAAAGAACTTATGACTGACCCAAGGTCACACCAGCAGCTGCATGTGGAGGAGTGGGGAATCAATTCTGGAATTCTCCCAGCTTCTAACCCACTACACCAAACTAAGGAGCTCAGAGTGGCATAGACGGTTCTCCCTTCCCCATTTTGCCCTCCCTACAACCCTGTGATGTAGGTTAGGCCCATAGATCACCTAACAAGCTTCACTTCAGTATGCAGATGTGAACCGTGGATCTCCCGATCAAAGGCTGCCGACTCTGGACTGCAAAATTCCTGGAGACTTGGGGGTGGAACCTGGGGGGGGGGCAGGGTTTCAGAGAGGGGAGGGACCTCAGTGACCTATGATGCCACACAGTCCCCCCTCCAAAGCATCCATTCCCTCCAGGGGAGCTGATCTCTGTAGTCTGGAGACCAGCTGTAATTCCGGGAGATCCCCAGGCCCCACCTGGAGACTGGCAACCCTACCCCAATCCTAGTTTGGTGCAGTAACCACAACACCAGATAGGCACTCATTAATACATACATACATACACATTCAATTTATATACCGCTCCTTCCTGAGGACTCAGAGCGGTTTACAGAGACATTTTAGACCTAGCTAGGGCCACAGTGCGGGTGTGTGTGTGTGTAAAATGCCTACCAGGCACCTAAGCAGCGGAGTTCTGTTGTTCTTTCTGCTCTTCGATGGAGTTGGCGATGGAGTCTTGGCAAAGTTCTTCTTCCCACAGCGACTCCTTCTGGGTTGATCCCCACGGCACACAGCTACGAGACAGTTGCAGCGCTGGTCTCCATTCTATTGGCTCCGACTGCGCCGCGTTGTCTCGTCGCCGTGTCTCCTGAGTCGCTCGTTGTCCATTGCCGGATCACCACCATGTTCTGCTGGACCGCCGCTCGTCTCCGTTCGTCTCCTGCCACCTCCACTCAGCCACCGCCGCTGCCGCACACCAGTCCGTCTGGAGGGAGGGTGCCCCTCGCTCTCTAAGAGCAGGTACCCATTTATCTATTCGCCTAAGGCTTTCGAACCGTTGGGTGGGCGGGAGCTGGGACAAGGACCGGGAGCTCACCCCGGCCACGGTTGGACTCGAACAGCCTTAAGGCTGCTCGGTGATAGACTTATTGCAGGCTTTTTACAGCCTGCGCCAGCGCTCCCTTAATGAATTCTGAGGGATGAAATCAATGTGCTGAAACCAAAAGTCACAACTGAATAGGAGGTAAAACCTGTCCCATCCTTCCAGACAACGCAGATAGACCAAGATGGGTGGCCATGTCATTCTAGCTGTTATCTGAAGCCGTGAGCAGTGACTCACGGAAGCTCATATCCTGGCACTAATTTTGTCAGTCTTTAAGGTGCACCTTCTGGGCTGTTGCTCTTTTCTACAGCTTCCAGATGATGGGTTCGCCGGAGATGGGGTGAGTTTAGCCCTCCCAGTGATACCCTTATTTTTTTTAACACATCAGCAAATGTTCATGTCAGCCCACCACCTTACAGGCGGTTGGCTTGGACTCTGCTAGCGGGAATCCCATGAGGTGAGCGGAGTGCCAATCAATGCTCCCTCTAAGCTGCGGAGTCTTGTGAGTAAAAATTCTACTTTCTGAGTGACTGGCATGAAAGTTGTGAGCGAGCGATTTGGCTGCTGCATCAATTAGTTTGCCCTCCTTCCTGAGCTAAGACAAAAATGTGTGAGCCGGAGGATAAAAAACTGTGAGCTAGCTCACACCAACTCAGCTTAGAGGGAACACTGGTGCCAATGTATTTGCGGGATGGAGAGGGACACTGATTGCCATAGAACTCTTTGCGTGATGAACAGAAAGATGTGTTTTCTGCCCAGGGGCAGGCTTGTGTGGTTTTCCCCCTTTCTACTGTGGTGCCGATCCCACGCAGCAGGAATGTGGCTTCCACGTGATAGGCATCCCACATTTCCCTTCTCAACTATTGTTATTTCATTATAACAATCAGGTTTGCGGAACTCCCTAGCTTCCATTTTAAAAGTCTCTCATCCCTTTCACTGCAGTGACATGCCTTTTCCCTTATATCCCTGCAACAAAAAGGGGTTACAAAATGGGAGGGGGAGCTGTTAATTCAGAGAACCTGGTACACAGATAACAATTACTGATTAACGCCCCACACACACACACACCATCTCCTTGGAGGCAGTGGTGCTGCCCCAGAGAAAAGGGCAGGGGAAATGGCCGCTGTGTGGATGGAACTGTGAAAATCTAAACTTTCCCTCCCTCACAGAAGCCATTCACAATTTGCTATGCAGGGGTCATTTTGTAGAAAAAGAGGTGCAGGAGCCCATTAGCATAATTCATTAGCATAATTTATTTGCATATGCCACACCCCCTAACATCACCGGACGTGTGTCAGAAGGCAACACCCACCGCTCAGGCTCCACTGGACTGTTTTGGATTGCTAGCTGGGGGGGGGGCGTGCAGATCTGCCTTCGCAGAGGAGGGAGAGCTTGTACCTGAATAAAACTTGGTCTTAAAGGTGCCACTGGACTGTTTTGGACCGGGGGGACCGGGGAGGGGCTCTGCAGCTTACCTGGCGACTTCTTGCTCTGACTGAGGGCTGCTGGGAGCAGGGGGTGGGGCTTGTTGCATGTGCCCGTCCCCTGGGCTCTTTACTGCCAGAGCTCCGCTCCTGTGAGCTCCTGCAGGAAATAACCCCTGCTCTCTTTCCTAAAACTTCACAGCAAAGCAGATTTGGGAACACCTGGAGAAAAGCCAGGAAGACCCCAGCAGGGGGAGCGGTGTGTGGGGGAGGAAGGTACTCCAGTCCCGTGTTGTCTTTTCTGCCTGGCACTGGTTGGTTTTCAGATAAAATTACCGACGATGCTGTGGGTAGAATGTTGGACTTCTCCATGCAGAACCTGTGCTCTGGACCCTCCCCTGTTTTTTAATTAATGGTGTTCTAATTAACCCAACCAATTTGTTTTCTGCTGATGCAGTTGATGAGAAGACCTTTAGAAAGTTTGTCCAGGGAACCTTCCCCACTCCTCCTTCAAAAGTTTCCCTACCTGCAACTGCAGTGTCTTCTGAAGGAGACCTGCTTCGATTGGCAGCCACAGCAGTTGCCACTGAAGGTGGCCCACCTTTTTCTTTTGTAGAGCTGGTTGGAATACTCCCCTCTCAGTGCTGTTTATGCACCAATGGGTTCGCCCGGATCCAAGGATTGCCCTATCGGGAAGAAGACAACTGTAAATAGGACCTATCATGGGGAGTGGGTGTGTGCTGGGTGTGGTGTTTGACATGCATTTAAGCCGGGTGTGGACCGGCTTCGTGATCTCAGTTTCTGATGTGATCCAATAAAACCTTGAGCTGTTTCACTATGCTGAGCCTCCGCTTCCAGTACTTTTCATGCAGAGCATTTCATGTGGAGTTTTGTGGGGCAACTTGTGCTGTTAGTGTTGCCAGCTCTGGCTTAGGAAATACTTGGAGATTTTGGGGTGGAGCCTGAGGAGGGGCTTGGGGAGGGGAGGGACTTCGATGGGGTGTCCTGCCATAGAACCCACCTTCCAAAGTGGCCGTTTTCTCCAGGTGAACGGATCTTTGCCGCCCAGAAATCAGTTGTGATACCAGGAAATCTCCAGCCGCCACCTGGAGGTTGATGAAAGATAAACAATAACAACCGGGATATATGAAAAGTCGATTCAATTTTTCAAGAGCTTGATAAGTATTGGCTTCCGGTCGGACTAAGATGGAGGACTGACACACTTTCGCGATTGTGCGAAGTGAGCGACGGCCGCTTTTGACAGTTTGGGCAGTTTTTAGCCCAACGCATTGCTCCCCAGTGAGGGGGGGGGACAAGCAGGCAGCAGCGCCTAAGAGGGAGTGTGAGGTTGGCGTGATCCGGCTCCCGAAGGAGCCGTTTCATGCTTTGATCTCCTCCCCCGAAGAAGGCAAGTGCCAAGCAACTCTGCAGCGGCCGTTCGAGCCGGATCACCGGTTTAAGCTCTCTACCAGCCGACCTCTTGAAGATGGGCAACAACAGTAAGTGAAAAGAAGCAATGCGAAACCAGATTTGATCGTGCTAGATAACAATAAACGTGCCGCTTACCTGAACTGTGATAAGATAAAAATTGAAACAAGCAGTTGAGCGGGAAATGACCAAACATTCCCAGAAATCCGATTCCGGCAAAGAAAATAGTTGATTGAAGGCTTTAAAACAGTAAAAAAGAACATTGTTTAACATTCCTGCGGTGGGAATTGAGATATGTGCGCAGCCGAAAACCGAAACTGACGAACTGTATCGCGGGAGGAGCAGGCCGGTGTAACGAAAAAAATACTCCGAGGTGCTGGAACAGGAAGAGGAAGCCCTGAAAGAAGGGCTGAAGCCAACAGGAAGCCAACAGGAAGAGACTCGGAGCTACAAGAGAGCAGAACCGGAAGTGAGTGTATACGAACAGACGGGACCTGGAATACGGTAACCTGACCTACTCTATACCCGAATACCATAGAGAAGTTGCGCCCGACATTTTGAGGAGGACCTGACTTTAAATTTGACTTTAAACTTCTTTTAGAGGGTTTTTAAAAGCGAAAATAGAAGGGAATGGCTGATTGAAGGCTACCCTTTAGAAGAGACTGTTTGTTTGTGAATTTGCGCACCGCAGGAAAAGCACCAAAACGGAGACTGCAGGAGACTGCCTGGTCCTCTTCACCTCGAGCGTCATCCCATGCAAATTAAGTACGATAGCTAATAAAATGCTCTTACTGTCTTTCTTATTCTTATATCCAAGAAGCATGAAAAGTCGTGATTCCGCAATGCTACTTGGATATAAGAAGAAGGAAGACACTCACTTTCGTAATTATATCACTGTTGTTCTTGTGAATTTTTCATTTACCAATCCTGTGATCTCTATGGCTACTGGAAACACCTGGAGATTGGCAACTCTATGGCATTGTACCCCACTGAGGTCACTGTACTCCCCAGGCTTCACCCCCAAATCTCCAGGAGTTCCCCAATCTGGAATTGGCAACCCTATGCAGCCCCCCCCCCCCCCCGGTGGCCAGGGGAGACTTAGAAACCCTACCGGATCTTCTGTTTGCTCTGTGGGAAAACGTATGTGTAAAGATAGGTAAAGGTAGAGGTTTCCCTTGCTCGAAAGCCAGTCGAATCCGACTCTTGGGGATGGTGCTCATCTCCATTTCCAAGCCGAAGAGCCAGCGTTGTCTGAAGACTTTTCTGTGGTCATGTGGCCGGCGTGACTAAATGCCGAGGCACATGGAACACTGTTGTCTTCCCACCAAAGCGGTACGTATTTATCTACTTGCACTTTCTTGCTTTCGAACTGCTAGGTTGCCAGGAGCTGGGGCCAGAGACAGGAGCTCACTCCGTCACACGGCACTCGGGCCTGGAACTGCCGAGCGACTGACCTTCCGGTCTGCAGCTAAGCGTCTTAACCACTGAGCCACCGCAGCCCCTATGTGTAAAGACAGGTGCAGGTAAATTTCCCAATGAAGCAAAGATCAGCTTCCTGTGTTGCAGTGAAGGACTGTACCATGTCTCTTTGTAACAAGCACGCCAGTAGGCCAAGAGGGGGCAGCAGAGTTCACAAGGTGGAGAGGTCAGTTTCCTCCGTACCAGTGCCTGGTCTGTCTTGGTTTCCCCAGACAGCTACTGCCAGGAACTTCCTTCCTTCCAACTAGCCCCTAATCCTCCCATGAGAGCATGCTGGGATGTATTTCTAGGCCTGCCAGCACGGGGTGGGGAACCTGGAGATTTTGGGGGTGAAGCCTGATCAGTTTCCTCCGTACCAGTGTCTGTTCTGTCTTGGTTTACCCAGACAGCTACTGCCAGGAACTTCCTTCCTTCCAACTAGCCCCTAATCCTCCCATGAGAGCATGCTGGGATGTATTTCTAGGCCTGCCAGCACGGGGTGGGGAACCTGGAGATTTTGGGGGTGAAGCCTGAGGAGGGCGGGGTTTGAGGAGGGGAGGGACCTCAGTAGGGTACAATGCCATAGAGTCCGTCCTCCAAAGCAGCCATTTTCTCCAGGGGAATGAACTAACTAAACTATGTCGTCTGGATATCAACTGTAATAGTGGGGGATCCCCAGGCCCCACCTGGAGGCTGGCAACCCAATTTCTCTCCATAGAACAAAGTTCAAGTCCAGTGGCACCTTTAAGAGCAACTAAATTTAATTCTGGGTACAAGCTTTCGTGTGCATGCGCACTTCTTCACATACATACATACATACATACATACATACATACATACATACATACATCTGTATATCTGAAGAAGTGTGCATGCGCACAAAAGCTTGTACCCAGAATTAACTTTTGTTGGTCTTAAAGGTGCCACTGGACTCACACTTTGTTCTATTGCTTCAGACCAACATGGCTACCCACCTGAATCTACTTCTCTTCATATTATAGCTAGATAACTGGACCGCCCATTTCTCCTT